ATAATATAAAAGGGTAGAAGTGTCATCTTTGTGGTAATATCTAGATAGAAGAATCTACAATGGAAAATTTGTATAGTAATGAGTTCGATTCTTATCTGATAATAACAACGAAGAAAGAAATAGCAGCGATAATGAAGAATTAGCTTCGACATCAACGTCTACCTCAAAATTGAGTAGTATTAGAACAAAAAAAAAAGGAAGCCAGGAAGTTTCGTATGACAATTTTTTAAAAAATATTTTTCAACAGTTTTATTAAATAATTAAGAAGAAGAAGTCGAAAAAGTTCAATGTTTATTTAAAGAATACGATACAGAGTATTTATGGTTAGGTTCAACAAATAATTTAATAAATTATCTTAGAGATATCCATTATGTTACCAAGGAATTTCTTACGAATAAGTCAGTAAAGGTTCACCAACAAACTATTCAACAAGTAATTATGAAACTCCATCCTGTTCTTATTCAAAAAAAGCTTACAAATCAGGTTGTATGATATATAGTTTCATGTGCCCAGCCAATTCATCTTGTTGAAATTGATGACTTTAAACTTTTGTTAAAAAAATTTGATCTTCGCTTTAAAATGCCATGTGTTAATACAATAAAAATGATCATATTTGACTCTTATAATTTGGCAGTAAAGCAAATTATCAATCTTATTTCAAGGACGTCAAACACTGTCTCTTTAACTTTTGATATTTGGTCTTCACATGCCCATGATAGTTATCTTGGAATTACTTGTCATTGACTTATAGATTCATTTGAGTTGTACAAAATTGTACTTGAAATTGGAGAGTTGGATGATCATTGCGCAGATGATATTGTTGAGTTAGTTAATTCTGTTCTTGATAAATTTAATATTAATCATAAAAAAATCTTTTCTATTACTACAGAAATGGCGCAAATGTCAAATCTGCAGTACAAAAAATGGATGTTACTAATATTAAGTGTGCTGGATATACATTACAATTAAGTGTAAATTTAGGATTAAAGGAAATTGATAGACTTATTTCAAAATATAAATCACTTATCTCTATTTTGTCAAAAGAAAAAAAATAGAAGCAACTTCGTGAGGCTTAGCTACAAATTACTCTAGACCTCAAAGAACCACTAGATGTTATTAAAGATGTAGATACCAGATGAAACTCTACCTTTTATTCTATTGAACATCTTGTATCTTTAAAACCTGTTATTATACAATTACATTTAACTCTTAATAATTATACTGTTAGGGAGATTAGAAGAGGAGTGGAAATGATGAGTTCTTTCCTTCCTTCAGAAGATGAATTTGAATTATTGAATGAGCTTATTGTAATCCTTTCTCCTTTCGATGAAGCAATGCAATTTTTAAGCAGATCTGAATATCCAACACTTGGTTTTATGACACCAATGTTGGAAGAACTCACTCACCGGCTTAGGCAATTTACTGGACAAAGTTATAAAGCAATTCTTGTGAAAGACACAATCTTGAATAACTTAGTTGAACATTAGAAAGATCCAAATGAGATAGGATTGTGCTGTTCTTTTCTTGACCCATGATTTAAGAGCTTAAATTTCTGTTCAAGTGATTTACGCCATACAACAATCCAAATTATGCGTAATCGATTTAATGAACTAATACAAACTACAAATGATAACACTACACAAACCACTAATAATAATAATACAACCTTAACACCACCTCAATGTAAAAAGCTTAAAATGGCAGTATTTTTTTCTCATTCACGAACAGAAAGCACTAATGTATCTGATGAATTTGATCAGTATTGTGAAATACCTGAAATTTCTCTTGAAGAAGAATCCTGTCCTTTGATTTGGTGGCACCAAAACAAAACTCTCTTTCCTACTTT